GATCCACACAGTTTCAATAACAGATAATGGATTTTTTTGGAAATCAATTTATATCCCTTTCTTACAAAATACGCAACGCTACAATATTCCCTCCGCAGATACCGTACCTCTTCTTTGGCTGGGGATCTCAGGACTTAAGAGGTTCGGATTTTCCCCTGGCCTTGGCACATCCAAGAGCTTTCCTGCGATTGCCACATCCGGAGGAAGCAAAGCGGGAGAACTTTCTTTGAGGAATTGTTGAGAGTCGCTATAGGAAGTAGGTTCCCCAGACGTACCTGTTAAAAATATTATTCCGTGAATATTAATCACATTTTTATATTATCATCAACGCATACTGAAACTTTACTCTTTATTGACACTAATATTATAATAAAATAGAAATGCTTAACAGTTTCACTCGAAAACTCTTAGATCATCATTAAGGTAAAATGGAATAAGATCCTTTTAATTTAGATTTACTGAGTGATGTAGAAAATGCTATTTTGTGTTATACGCTTCCGATAAAAATTTTCACGAAAGAGATTGATGAAATTATTAAATATTGGTTATGACACTGAATTTCATGTAAGTACTCGTAGACAAATGTCTGTTGGTAAATGTGTTTATAATCATTAAGACGTGATGTTGATCGTTACTGTACGTAGTTTAGACTCGCGTTAGTCTAATAATCCTTATTGCTAATGCAGAATTAATTAGTATGATGTGATTTACAAGGAATGAACAACTACTAAATGAAAAGAAATACTCAATGCACAGTTGAAATGAATTTAAGGCTTTGACCGGGATGTTCGTTTGTTAAATCTTATGTGGTACCGCCTGATTCGACTTCTAATGGTTAAGTGAAGTGTTTTCTTCGCGGTACGGTCTGGATTCGTAAATAATATTCAGACGATCTTCGGCTTCAAAGGGTTAATGGTCAGCACGACGAACCCCCAGCCATTGCTAGTTTTCATGACCGGATTACGCTAACCAATTTCCTCACGATGCTGGGTTGGCACCGGTCGAAAGCTCATGAAAAAATTTCTTTCCCCGAGACTCGAACCAGCACGAATTCCGTATCGCCGGTCCGAAGCGTGATGCCTCAGACAGCGCGGGACACTCAATGCACAGTCACAGAAGAAAATAAACACAATACACGAAAGGCAGGTGTTATTGAGGTAATACATGTCATGACATGAAATTTGGGATGGTAAAAATGCTAATTCTTCAGACGACTGGCGATACAGACATCTGTAGCTGGAGCAAGATAGTTATTTCCCACATTACCTACATCTAAACTTTAGTAGCATGAGCCGGCGTAGTATAGCGACTGGCTACGGAATGGACGACCAGGGTTCGATCCCTGACCAGGGCAGAGGATTTTTCCGCTGCTTCCAGGCCACCCAGTGGGTACTGGGGTCATTTCCCGTGGGTAAAGCGTGGCCCGGGGCGTGATGCTGACCACTCAACCCCCATCTAATGCCGAGGACAAGAATGAGTAGGAGCTACACCGTCTCTCCCCCCGAGCGCGTACATGGTACAGTCGTAGTTCTCCAGAATGAAAAAGACATTCAGAGACAACTCACATGGACCCTGAGTGTTAGCATCGTCAACTTTGAAGCTGATATTGTCATGTTTTATGTTATCTTGTTGGGTTTCACTAAAATCTGTCTTCTCCTTGACGCCATCCTTCTCTTCCACACATGCAGTACCTTTCTCAGGACAAACATTGGTTTGCTGGTTGCCCGGTACAAATGCCGAATTCTCTTCTTTGGAAATACTCAGATAGTAACAAATGTCACTCTTCTTCATAATGTGACGTGGTCCTGGATTAAGAAGGATCGTATCCTCATAAAATTCTGGAAGCTCTGATGGACGTACGCCAACCAGTGCCACGCCATATCTGTAGTGACAAGAGTGCAGTGTTTGACGACTTTTTTGGTTTGTAATGCCGATACGAATCAAAAATAAATTCGGGATATTAATTATTTATTTATTGTTTATAAATTGGAAACCAACAGATGGAGAATGTGGAGCATTTCAAGTACTTGGGACGACGGACGCTCTATGAACCAAGGAAGTAAAAGCAAGGATAGTCATGGCCAAGGCAGCTTTCGTCAAGAAGAGGATACTTCTCACTAGCAAGTTGGGCTTGGAGATGAAGGAGAAACTAGTGAAGTGTTACGTATGGAGCAGAGACTTGGACACTCAGGAAGAAGGAACAGAAATACCTGGAGAGTTT